TGAGTTGGTTCCTACTCGATGGCACCTGACAACAACAACAACAACAAATGGGGTTATTTTTCAGTTCAATTCAGTAGAGTAATTAGAGCTCTGCTGGTGATATAAGAGAAACCCACCAGTCAATCCGAGAGAGACAGATGAGGCTTTCCCATCTTGTAAAGGTTCATAAGCTTCGTCAGGTCACAAGGAGTCAGAATGGGCTCAATGGCAGTGGGCTTGGTGCAGGGTTTGCTTTATAGGTTACTTACTAAGTCGTTCACTTATCTTTCAAATGACCAGGTTTAAATGCAGAGGTTATAGTATCTACATGGGATGCTCCATAGTAAAAAATTTTTCTTGATAATTATAAATATGTTTGTTTTTCTATCTTGTAGTCCTAGCCATTATCATGTGTCTGCTTTATTCTTTCTAAATAGCAGAACTTTTTCAATGTGCCAGTGCATCTTGTAGAATGAATTTTTAATAAAAGTAGGTGTGTGTGTGTATTTAAAAGATGGTTTGAACTTTAAACTATAATATATGTGAATCAAACTATTAGAATTCATATAACTTGTGTATAGGTTGTTGCATGGAATAATTCTATTTTGTCTTCCTTCTAGGAAATTTTTCTAAACTTAAAAACTGCTTTGGAGAAATACCATGAAGGTATTGAAAAGACAGCAGAGGATTGTTATTCTAGAATAGATGAAAAAACAGCTGAACTGAAGAGGAAGATGTTCAGATCATCAACCTGATCAACAAAATTACATCTTGTCATCTTTTATTTTTTTGGTTTAGAAAGGGACTATTTAAGTTGAAGCTCATGGTAATGGAAGTATCAGGATTACCAAATAAGGCTGACTGTTTTTATATACTCTCATTAAGTGGTTGTTTTCTAAGATGATGCATTTCACATAGTTTTATGCCTTACGCTAAAATCACTTGCAATTAAAACTCAAGTCTCTACTCTGCCCCTTATGAGTGGTTGAAGTAAAACAAAAATAGTTGTCGTTGAAACAAAATTTTTCTGTAAGTATTTTGGCTTTTGTTGTTTTGTGGACATGTAGTGATAGATCATTTATTGAGCCCTGACTATGTGATACTAACTGATGCTCCTCACCTAACTGGAGGTGACTGTTTATTACTGCTCTGTGGATGAGGTAACTATGGAAGATTAAGTAAATAACTGAGCCATGCCCTTCACGAGATCAAAGTCGATAAAGTTTTTACTGTACCACACTTTGTCATTTAATTCCTTGAAAAAGAAAGTTTGAATGCAGTAGTCTATTTCATTATACCTTTGGCATTATTATGTGGAAAATGATTTGAAACATGTAAAGTACTTCGAATACTGTCTGGCCTGGGGCAGGCAGACAGTACATATTTTTCATAGTGATTAGAGCCACAGGAATTCTGAGTGCTTTTTTCTTTATCAGAAAGAAAATCTTATTGTAGCTAGAGAACAGGCTTTCATTGAAAGGAAAATCCCTGGAGAGAGAGGAGCAGCAAAACCAGGTACCCAGAGAGAAACAAACAGATTAGGGTACAAAATTGACTTATTGCCCTGTCCCTTCCTTTCTTAAATAGCCATCCCTGTAATCAATACAAAGATCTGATGTTAAGGCTAGGTAACAGGTGTAAGCATGACCAAGTCTCATCCAACTTTTAAATTTTTTATTCTCTTCGACTTTAATGTCCTTTTTCTCACAACCATATTTAGAGAATACCGAATGTATACTTGTGAATAAACTTCATTGCCTGTTTATATAATAATGTGTGGCATTATTACTTACCATACTAATTCTCTGAACTTCAAAGGTCACAAAAGGAAGTCAATTAACAAACTTCCATGGACACTTCCTGGTCTTTATTCTTATGTTTTGCCTGCAAAATACATTTTTGTATACATGTAGTTTCAGTAGCATCACTTTAAAGTTTCATAGTTTGAGTTACTGTTGTTAATTTATGAAACAACACAAAGATATACTGATCAATCTAATAGTTGTTGTTGTTAAGTGCCGTCGAGTAGGTTCCGACCCATAGCGACCCTGTACAGGGTTTCCGAGGGTGTAAATCCTTATGGGAATAGAAAGCCTCATCTTTCTCCCAATAAACAGCAATATGACACTCTGAATATAGCCAAGAAAAAAAACCAAATTCCTATATAGATTTCAGTCTTAAGAATCCTTAATAACTTTCAGTGTCACCATTTAGTGTCCAAATGTCAAAAGAATTTACCAAAATTTGATACATAACAAAGTGAATTCTTAAGGATAACTTTGTCATTCAAGTACCTAATCTCATTATTATGAAAAAAGTGAAACTTTTGAGTTAAAGTTATAAGAAATCAAAGGAGGACAGCATTATTTTTGCTATGAAGCACTACTTAAATCCATGACACATCTGTCATGATGCTCTGTACATTGAAAAGTTTAAAGCCAAAGCCTTTTTAAAAGGGTCCACCACTCGTCTCTTAGTTTGTCAGCCTGTGGTGGCTTACGTGTTGCTGTGACACTGGAGGCTGTGCCATAGGTATTTTAAATACCAGCAGGATTACCCATGGTGGTCAGGTTTCAGCTGAGCTTCCAAAACAGACTACGAAGAATGAGAGAACTACTTCAGAATGTTTAGGCACTGAAACCTTATGAACAGCAATGGAACACTACTGTACTTGAATATTGAAACATAATGAAGAACACCAGAATACTGTCAGATATAGTGCCAGAAGATGAGCCCCTCAGGTTGGAAGTCACGCAAAATACGACTGGGAAAGAGCTGCCTCCTCAAAGTAGAGTTGACCGTGATGACATGAATGGAGTAAAGCCCTCAGGACCTTCATTTGCAGATGGGACACAACACAAAATGAAGAGAAACAACTGTAAACCTCCATTAGTAATTGGAAAATGGAGTGTGAATTTGAATGATAATGGTCTTCTTTGTAGATGTATGGATATTATCATCCTACCACAGACAGTGTTGTACTTCAAGACAGATTCTGAAATGTTCTTTTTGATGAAGAATACAACACTATTCCTCTTCAATTTGTCATTCCTGGCATAGTAAACTATATGATTGTCAGATTCAAAATGTCCGGTATCAGTCCATTTTAGCTCACTAATGCCTTGAATATTGATGTTTACGCATTCCATTTAATTTTTACAAACTTCTAACTTTCCTAGGTTCATGTTTTATACATTCCATGTTCCAGTTTTGGCATACTACAGGTATTCAAACCATGTTCCTTTTCAATGTTCTTTGAGTTTGTGGGACAAAAAGTTTGAAGTGCAAGATCCAGGTGTATATAGTGAATGGGGTAAGGTTTTCCAACAGAATTTTCATAAAACAACCCTTAACCATATTCGAAGAATAAGCAGGTACATTGTCTTGATGGAAAAAAAAAATTCTTCAGTGCCAGTTTCCTGGCCACTTTTTCTTACCAGTATAGTTTTCTATTTCTCAGAACTTCATAATCTCCTTTGATCATCTTGTGTACTTCCAGAAAATAAATAGTACATCTGCTGATCTCTCTACCTTGAATTCGTCTTTGAGGCCTTCCTGACTTCTATTAAAACACTTGATTCATCTAACAACGTGTTTCATGTCAAGCAGCACTCCTGTAAACTTGTTGCAATGCTTCCATGATTTGGGAGGATGTCCACTTCATTAAAAATTTATATTGCCTTGCCCTCATTGTTTTTTAACATGGCACAAAAAGTTTCCTCTTTGTTGTTGTTGTTGTTAAGTACCGTAGAGTTGGTTACGACTCATAGTGAGCCTGCACAGGGTTTCTGAAGCTGTAAATCTTTACAGGAGCAGAATGCCTCATCGTTCTCCCGTGGAACCGCTGGTAGTTTCGAACTGCCGACGTCACGTTAGCAGCCCGATTCGAAACCACTATGCTACCAGAGCTCCTTCTTCGTTCTTGACGTTGTTGTTATTGTTGTTATGTGCCATCGAGTCGTTTCCGACCCATAGCGACCCTGTATAGGGTTTCCGAGGGTGTAAATCTTTACAGGAGTAGAAAGCCTCATTTTTCTCCCGCAGTGCAGCTGGTAGTTTCGAACCGCTGACCTTAAGGTTCGCAGCCCGATTCGTAACCACTACGCTACCAGAGCTCCTTAGTACATCATTAGGTAAAGGAAGAATTTTGTGACATTCTGGTGGTGGCTGTGTGCCATGGAGTCAGTTCCAACTCATAGCGACCCTGCACAGGGTTTCCGAGGCTATAAATCTTTACAGGAGCAGAACGCCTCATCTTTCTCCCACGGACCAGCTGGTAGTTTCGAACTGCTGACCTTGCGGTTCACAGCCTGATTTGTAACCACTACGCTACCTAGGAAGTATCGTTCTTGACAGTACCCTTAAAAAACTAAGTGTATTCCTGAGAGTGCTTATCTGTACCCACGGACTAATTTTAGTGATATGTTTAAACAAGTTTTGTTTGGAATAAACCCATGCATATATAAACTGAAGCCCTAGTAGCAATGCTTTTTGATTTACTTTGTATGTTAATACACAAAATAATAAATATTTCATAAACTGAGATTTTTTTAATGTGTTCTACATGAAGAATGTTTACTCACTGTCACCAAATTTTAATAGCGATTATTGGTACAGTTTGTTTTATAAATAATTTCATAGCATTTATAATTTAGGTAAAAAGGTAGTTAATACGTTCTCATTGTAATTTAACTTTTAAATTACATTCATGATTCTGAAACTTCATTTGTTTCAAAATAAAGGTAGATTTAAAAATATATATTTTATTGTGAATTATGTGATAGTTTAAATGGGAGAACATTAGTTTTACATTCATCCTATAGTATATAATTTCATTGCTATGGTTACAATCCCCCCCATGTCATCAGCACACAGCCCCTCTCCCTCTCTGTGTCTAAAGTTCCCAACACTTTCATCTCTCCACGTCATCATCTCTGCCTCCATCTCAGGCATCACTGCTTCCCTGGGTAGGGTCCCACTCTCTGCTCTTCTCCCTTGATGGTCTCAGGGACCTCCACTCAGGCTGAAAAGTTAATCACTCCCTTCCTTGCTAAAAAACATCTACCTTTACAATTCCAACCCTCACAAGTGTCCAGATAACAATTATTCAATACTGTATCACAAGAGATCCATCCAGATTTCATTTCGTCGGCCCTGCCTACACAGATTGTATACTACTCAGTGGAGATTCTACCTTCCTCCATGCCCTATGAATCTAGCTTCCCTCTTGAAAGCTTGTAAGCTAGTCACTTCTTGCCTTTGTAGCCCCCATTTTGGGTAGCCAATGTCCAAGTTGACCATCCCTGTCTACTCTGTGTATGGAGGGGGTGGGAATGATCCTTGCTGTAAGGATTTGTTCCGTCTTTTGAGCTACTGCATCCATAGGTGTAGGTCAAGTTCATCAAATTGTATCAGATTACGCTTTTTTCCCTCTTCTTTCTTCTTCTGGTTGAGCTCTGATCATCCAGTCATTGAAGCCAGGTTAAGTGGGTATTATCTGCAAGTGTGAATGTTCTTGTGTAAATGCCCTCTCTTCTTAGCCACTGGACGCTTCACTCTCCACTCTAGTCCTCTGTGGCTATATCACTGATTCTGGGCCCAAGAGTCCCCTGGTCTTGCCACACTGCTAGCCAACCAGGTCTTCACCCGGGTTCACAGAAGTCTATTGAACATTGTAGGGCTTAGCTCTCTGCTTCATTGCTGTTTTTCCCTCATTTCCCCTTATCGGTGACGAGCGTAGTCACCAGTCAGAGCGTATTGAGTCTTAGTCTTGGAAGGGGGTTTGCACTGAGGGAACCCGACCACTTGCTTTGATGTTTCCTGGGAAAGCAACTTGCTTGTTCTTGTACTCACAG